TTTTTCCCCTTTGACCCAATTTTCAAAAATTGATATATGATAGGGGTGCATATTTGACACACAATCTGCCATAAATTATAGCATCCCATTCACTAAAACAAAGAAAGCAGAGGACCACAATTCTTTCAATTTGCTTGTATAATCTTGATAGATGGAAACATCCTCATATAATGTAGATTCAAGTTTTTTATGCCACACCATGATTAGGAATGCATGTATAGTTTTGTCATGTCTGTCCTCCACCCTTCTATCTGTCTTTCCATTGGGCTCAAAGAAACTTTCTAGATATTTTCATCAAAGTTCATATGTTGATGCATACTGATGTAAATATCCAACTGCAGCAATATTTTTTGACTTTGACCTTTCCTTTGACCTTCACTTAACTTTTCTTTAAATTAGTGTTTAGCTTTATTTTAAAGAAACCCTTCAAGTTGTGTAATGAAACTTCAAATGATGATACATACTGATGTAAGCTTTACAATGCTTCACTCTTTTTTACCTTGACCTTTCCTGTGACCTTGACCTCACTTTTCTAAAATTAAAGTCTAGATCAGTTTTGAATAAACAATTCAAGATATATTTATCAAACTCCATATGCTGATACATACTGCTGAGAGCTATTAATACATCAGCTTATTTTGACCTTGAATTTTCCTTTGACCTTGACCTCACTTTTAAAATATGTGTTTATCTAAGTTTTAAATAAACCATTAATTATAGTTTTATCAAACTTCATATGCTAATAGTAAATTCATACTGATGTTAGCTTTTCAACTGCAACAACATTTTGGCCCCAACCTTTCCTTTGACCTCTCTTTTTTTAGAAAAAAGTGTTCAGCTCAGTTTCATTAAATCATTCAAGATATTTTTATCAAACATAATATGCTGATATGTATTAGTGAAGCTACTCAACTGCATCAAAAACTTCATCTTGCACATTCCTGTGACCTTGACCTCCATCCTTTTTAATTTGTATTTCACTTAGTTTTAAAGAAATCAAATGATTTAAGACATTTTTAAAACATCATTTTTCGACCCCCATTAGTCCCCTCGGGGCAAAATCAAAATTCCGAAACCCTGCTGTACATCTACATGACACCACCAACCATCTCCCAAAAGATGATTAGGCTACTGTGTAAAATGTAAGAGGAGTTCAGGGAAGACGGGGCTTTTTGCATAAAAAACGTCATTTTCGACCCCCATTTGACCCCCCAGGGCAAAATCTAGATTCCAAAACCTTACTGCACATCTACATGACACCACCAACCATCTCCCAAAAGATGATTAGCCTACTGTGTAAAATGTAAGAGGAGTTCAGGGAAGACGGGGCTTTTTGCATAAAAAACAACATTTTTCGACCCCCATTTGACCCCCCGGGGCAAAATCAAAATTCCAAAACCTTACTGCACATCTACATGACACCACCAACCATCTCCCAAAAGATGATTAGGCTACTGTGTAAAATGTAAGAGGAGTTCAGGGAAGACGGGGCTTTTTGCATAAAAAACGTCATTTTTCGACCCCCATTTGACCCCCCGGGGCAAAATCAAAATTCCAAAACCCTGCTGTACATCTACATGACATACCAACCATCTCCCAAAAGATGATTAGGCTACTGTGTAAAATGTAAGAGGAGTTCAGGGAAGACGGGGCTTTTTGCATAAAAAACGTCATTTTTCGACCCCCCTTTGACCCCCCGGGGCAAAATCTAGATTCCAAAACCTTACTGCACATCTACATGACACCACCAACCATCTCCCAAAAGATGATTAGGCTACTGTGTAAAATGTAAGAGGAGTTCAGGGAAGACAGGGCTTTTTGCATAAAAAACGTCATTTATCGACCCCCCTTTGACCCCCCAGGGCAAAATCAAAATTCCAAAACCTTACAGCACATCTACATGACACTACCAACCATCTCCCAAAAGATGATTAGGCTACTGTGTAAAATGTAAGAGGAGTTCAGGGAAGACGGGGCTTTTTGCATAAAAAACGTCATTTTTCGACCCCCCTTTGACCCCCCGGGGCAAAATCTAGATTCCAAAACCTTACCGCACATCTACATGACACCACCAACCAGCACGAACACGAATCATCAAGCCGATAGACGAGGGTGATCAAAAAGTTCGCGAACTATCTCTATATCTACAAAACCACAATTCAGATTACATGTAGAATGAAATTCGGTACACACATAGCCATACACAACGTCTATAAATAGCATATAATGAATAATGTTTTTCTCCTTGTTTGTGACGTCACAAGGTGAAACTGACCTCAATATGTAGGTCACTTGTGACGAAAACTGGTTGTCTCAGTCGAACTCGTTCAACAAACGACTGTACACTTTATTGTATATCTTAGAAATCCCTCTGCAGTATCATATAATAATTTGTACACAGTATATTAAGATAAATGAGTACTTATAAATTCAATTAATGATTGGATTGATCGTTTCAGAGAAGGAAGGCAGATGGCTAAAAATGATACATGTCATCTTGCCCAGTGAAAGCAAGTTTGAAAAGATATGTGTTTTTAATTAAGCAATTTGCTATCAAAGACCTCCAATTTAGGGGACGACCATTTGATCCTGAGGGGGGGGGGGGGGGGGGGGGGGGGGCTGGCAAATTTTTTTGAGATGGATTATTTATTTTCATGCCTGTCAAGGACAGATTATTTATTTTCAAGATTATCGAGGACAGATTATTTATTTTCTTCTTTGTCTTACGGTACCTTGATCGATTGATTCTAAAAGACTAATCATTGATATACCATAGGCGGATCCAGGATGGGGGGCGTGTATAACTTCGTTCAGGCAAGAGGTCTGGGGCCGCCTTAAGGACCCCAGTGGGTCCTGGGCGAAGCACTGGTGGAGGCCAAGGGAGGGAAATTCCCCAGAAGTTCTTGGGTTTTCGGGTATTTTAAGAATAAAACAGGACAATTATAGTGGTATTGGTTATTATGTAGCAAAATATGTCATTATTAATATTGGTCATATCATACTTTGAATGAAGGGGGTCTTGGGGGCGAAGCCCCCTGAAGCTCGTGGGTTTTTGTGTATTTTAAGAGTAAAACCAGGCACAATTATCTAGGAATTGGTTAGTTATGTTCCAAAGTATGACATAATTAATACTAGTCATATCATATTACTTTGGATGAAGGGGCGAAGCCCCCTGGAGCTCTTGGGTTTTTGTGTATTTTAAGAGTAGAACTAGGCACAAAAATATTGGTATTGTACTAAAGTATGGCAATATTAATATTATTCATATCATACTTTGAAATTTTAGGGGAGGGGTCATACTCATGTATGCCTTCCTTAAATCCAACACTGTATACTTTGTAATTAATTTATCGGGAAGTATAATTCTTTGACAAGAAAATTTATCTTTTGTGGTGTTTAAGAATTTGCTTGTATTTAAACTTTTAAAGTGATTCATCACATCTACTGAGTGCACATTGTCATGTTGATCAACTGACTACAAGTATCCAGTCTGGTAATCTGATTTTAAATATTATTTGGTTCTAAAATGGCGAGCGAAGCGAGCCAAAAAAATGCTGAATTGAAGATTCTGAGGTTAAATTGACACAGAAATTAAAAGGTATTTTCACAATATTTAAATATCATAAGTCAAGGTCAGATTATTTATTTTCTTTGCAGAGGAGGACGGATTATTTATTTTCAACATTTTCAGGGACAGATTATTTATTTCCAAAATCTGCCAGCCCCCCCCCCCCCCCCCTCAGAATCAAATGGTCGTCCCCTTACACTTTGAAAAATAGTTGAATATTTGAACAATAATATAATTATTAAATACCTAAGATATCATTTACTTTAGATTTTAAACATATTAGATATGATAAAAAGGGTACCCATTCTCTATCCACCTTGAATAAAGGTCTCTCCCGAGACAGAAGATTTATTACTTATTTATTACTTATTTTTGGAAAAGATATTCTTATCCAACCAATCTGTTGCCGCCGAGATTTGACCATTTCTGACAAATTAACTGTTCTTGTCATAAAAATTAACTCACATAGAAAGAAATATAAAACTCAGAAAAATCTTTCAACTTTTGTGACAGACCGCCAATATCACGTGATTCGCGCATGCGCAGAACGGTGGTTGATGTGCATTAAAATTGGAGAGGATTAAGTTAAAATATAATCAACATTGAAACCAAATATTGTTTCTTTTATGGAAGTTATTCAATTAGTTCGCGAACTTTTTGATCACCCCTCGTACCTGCGACAATAACTCAGTCATTTGTAAGGAATGCAAAGAATGCTAGTATACCCAGTGCTGATATCGTAGAGAATAATACTAGTATTGAAAATGACATATGCCTAATCACGACTCGTGTTCAGTTTTAAATATAATGAATGATCGATAAAAATGAAAAATATAAATTAAAGTATACAAGTATAATATGCAAAAAACAAAAAAAGGCTCTCGTTATGTTTAAATAGATGACGGAAGAGAGCCAGATTTAAGGCATTATTACTGTTGGTCATTTGTATGTGCAGACTTCTTCCTCTTAAATTGATATAATTCATTCGTTTGAGTTACTTAGTCATCATCTGTTTGAGGTACCTTCATCACAATTTTCTTAGAGTCTTGTTCCTTGTCTTATTCCATATTTCCTTGAATATCAGACTTTTTATGACGTGCTTGGCGTATTTGATACAGACCTATTAATAGTCCAAAGACTGCTAGAATAGCACCTATAATTCCAATTATCGTATCAATATCAATCTCATCATCCTCAGCCGGCTTTAATCTATCTGTTAGAATAAATGATAAATGTTTTAAAATTTCTTTTGGAAGAATTTGTAATGATTTATTCTCACATAGTAACATACACATGTATCATAAAAAAACAACCATGAAAATACACTTTAATATACTTTTCTTGATATGTAAAATTTCTCACCGAAACATTTCTCGACCGACTCACTGCCAACAAAAGAGAGATGTCCAGGAGGACAGAATTTACATGAAGTCTGACCAATATCATTCTGATAAAATCCACTTTTGCACATAGTACATCCGTTTCCTTCTTGATATGTACCAGCAGGGCAATAAACTGAAATTATAAAATATCACAAAATGGTTTAATTATGGAATACATTGTTTAAGTTTCTGATCTTTCAAAATTTAAATCTTTATCTATAAAAAAGAAACAAAGAAAATGTAAAATATTTCATTAATTTTATTCTACTTTTGGTTTTATCAGTCGTCACTTTTAAAAAGCTTGGTTATTAGCAACTGACGTTTTGACTAAACGGTGTTTTATTAGGGCATTTTTCAAATGCTTAATGGAAGCAAAAATCGTTTATATGTCAGTAAGTAATTCAAATACCACAACTGTCCCCTTGAAGGAAACTGCCCGCGGTACACTTTACTTCAGCGTTCAGCAACAAAACATATCCATGAATCTTCGTTTCAACGTAGGATCTCTTTGATATCATGTGTGAACCTGTAAATAGATTTTTTTCAGTTGTAGTTAAATCTTGTTTTCTTTGACTTGCATAGGCACATAATTAAATGAAAGAAAAAGTGAGCAAGCCCACATACCCTACGCTCCCCAAAACTCAAAGTACTGAAAATCCCGGAAAAAATGAAAGAATCGGAATTTCCCGGTTATATGCACATCAACACATTGTGTCCTAAATATCTGCAAAGTTTGATGAAATTCTGTGAAGCGGTTTATCAGGAGTTGCGCTGACAAACTGTTCATCTCTATATTCAAGGTATGGCCAAAAATCTAAGTTGAAAAGTGCGGAAATTCTAAGAAAAAGTAAAGGAATCGGAATTCCCTGGTAATATGCACATCTACACATTGTGTCCTAAATACCTGCAAAGTTTGAAGAAATTGTGTGCAGCGGTTTATGAGGAGTTGCGCTGACAAACTGTATAAAAGGTATGGCCAAAAACCTAAGTTTTTAGTGCGGAAATTCCCGGAAAAAATAAGGAATCGGAATTTCCTGTAATATGAATATCTACATATTGTGTCCTAAATATCTGTATAATAATTCCATACATGACATTGTGTTCATAAAACAGTACAAAACAGGAGCAGAGCAAGCAAGGACATAAAATATACAGGGAAAATATTTCTTTTTTTTATTTCAGGAAGTGTTTCTTATTTTGCTTTTAAGATATCAAAATTAACTGAAATTTTTAAATTTTTTAGCCAAGTCATTTTGACAACCTTTATAGATCAATATTAAAGTAGAACTGATTGCGTAACAAGAGGTCTTAGATCTTAATTTTACAACCATCTGAGTGTCTTTGAAAGCCATAATACGTACATGTTTTATTTGTCAACAGCCTCCTTGAATAAATTTGAATTCAATTGCCAAAACAAAGATAATCTAAAATTTTGCCAAAGCATTTTAATAGAAAAAATGACTATTACTTCGAGAAAATCATTAATTTTTATGTGCAGAGTAAGTTAATATGATTTGCGGGGGATGCCTTTCATGAAGGCAAAAAGCCCGGAAAATAATCTCCTTAATGAAACCCAACATTTACTCACCTTTTAAAACTTGGTAATATCTCCTCAAAAGTAAATATTCTTTGTGTAGATTTGTTGCTGTATTTCTTCCAGAGCGTCGCTTCCTGTGGCTAGCATTTTTGGCATCTACATATTCCAATTCCACAAGTTTGGATTCCGTAATATAGAAAGCCTGAACAAGGTGCTTGAGAGGTTCACTTACTTGTAATAAAAATACAAAAATAACACTTTGTGTTAGATAAATTATTATGATACTAACAAATGTTTATTTAAGAATGACTCCTGTTAATTTTGTGATAGTTTCTTTTGTCTTTTTTATATGAAACATCTGAAAGTGGCGATTATTCGTTGACATTTCTTTACTAGATTGTTATGCCATATCAGATTTGGAGTCATGATCAAGATTATCAGAATTTCCTTAATTGTGTTACAAAAAAATAAAGATAAATCGTTCTTTAAACGAGGAGCAAAAATTCAAATTTACTGTTAAGGGGGATGTACGGCCACCTTTAGTGCAGTGAAAACAAAATGTAAACATTTCTTCAAATGGCTAAAATACATTATATTTTGATCAAATTTTAAGTCCTAATGATAAAGATACAATAAATATGCATAACTGAATGCATGTTGTGTATATATAATCTATACTTTTGCAGAAAAATGCTTTTGATATGCTCTTTAGAACTGCGCAGCTACAGAATACAGCAGAGCCTTAAAAAATCCAAAAAAAATATGCAAACTGTGCATTAATGTTCTCTCTACAACCATTTGTTGAGAAAATGTATAAATTTTGCACTTTTAAATGATAATTTCAAGTTCAAAACAAGGTACCGTTGTCTTCAAAAAGAGTGCAAAGAACCATGAAAGTAGTTCATGGATAGCAGCACGTGGTCTATTTTTAGCACAGAATTTTGTTTTCCAGACCCCTTCTTAATATGGAGGGACATAACAATCTTTAAATGTAGGAGAGAATATTATAGTTGCAACACATTTCAAATAATATGAACACTTTTAAAAGAGGAAAGGTGTTATAGTGTGGCTTGAAGTAATTTATTTCGTATTATTATCGAACAGTTGTTAAATACACAGGCACCTGACGTTACTTATTTTTCTTTTAATAAAAAAATATACACATACCTAATAATTGTTTATTATTAGGTATGTGTATATTTTTTATATTAAAAGAAAAATAAGTAACGTCAGGTGCCTGTGGTTAAATAGTGTACGTATTGATAAAAAAAAAAAATCTTAAACTCTTTGATTCCAGGTAAGGAAAAATGAGCATCATCAAAGTTAAAAATTAAGAGTTTGTAAGTTTGCCATAGATAACTTATTTTATCTATCAAAATTTTAATTATCACCAATGGAACACAAAGAAATAAGACACATATAATCGATATGAATGACCTTGTTTTAATACCTGGGTGATCAAAAAGTTCGAACTATATCTACAAAACCACAATTCAGATTAGAAACATAGCCAAACACAAGTTCTATAAATAGCATATGCTGAAGTTTTGCTCCTTGTTTGTGATGTCACAATCTGAAAATGACGTCATGCAGGTACTTGTGACGAAAAATCTATTTGCCCATATTCTCAAAATTAAAATTTTACAAAGTAAAGAAAAAAATCAACATAATTAAATATTTTATACCATCTTTAAAATGACGTTTTGTGGTCCTCCCAACTCAGGGAAAAAATATTGGGTCCGTATTTATAGAAGAGAAAGAAATTCCTTTAAATTTAAACATAATATTGTTGACGGAAGAAAAAGAAAAAATTATCGTCTAATGGGATGTAAAAAAAAAAATGAGTCGGGCCATTTCCAGGCAGTAGATCGGGAGAGAGGGCAACCAAATATTTTTATAACAAGTGGTCTTATAAGGTTAGTACATATTCCATCATGTACTTAGTAATGCAAATTTTTTTAATCTTCTGCACTATTTTGAAAAACAAACATACGATTTTCGGGGGGGGGGGGGGGGGGGGAGCCTCTCACTTTTTTTGCGATGATAGACATAGCATATGCAATGGACCTTTCTTTGCAAACATTGTACTCGCTTCTAAATTTCGAAGAAACAACTCAATATATTTTATCAAGCTTCGTATGCATTGAGCGAGAGCTTACAACGTTGTCAACATAATAAGACATGATGCGTTTTTATGTCCAAACATTACTCCATACAATGTGTTGGTCATTGCAAACAATCTAGCTATTTATGTGAGGTGCCTGAAGGAAATCCTATAACTGCCTGTTTTTTCTATCTAACTTCTAGCCAAAATATACATATGTACCAATTTTAGAATGTAAGACATGTAATTACAATTTGTTTTTCATGCACCGCATATTGTTTAAAATTTTCAAATTAAATGCTTAGCATCCTCCTTGCAGTGCCCCATTTGAAAATAACTTCTATCGCCACAGAAAAAAGACCCGCCGTAAACACATATGTTTAGGACATTTTTATCTTTTTTCTTGAGTTTTAAAGAAACCAACAAATTATCAAGACTTTGTTCATGAAAAATTAAATATAATCATGGTAATAAACGGATATATCCACAGCAGATATATTCACATGCCAACCACGTGCTCAGTGGAATAATTTTAACGAGGAAACTCGAACTGTAAACAGAACAGTTTTTCCCGATTTGCTGGAGTGGGGTTAAACTCGCGTTTTTCATTAATCAGATGATGCGATGCAACAAATAAAAGTAGTAAGTAATATAACCTAATGAATATTACAGGGTGATTTCTTGTCTTGATGTTATTATGGTCGCATTTATTCTAAAATCAATGTTATTCGAACTCTGTGTGACAGAGCAATGGCGGACGAAATAAACACATTGCCTCAGGAAGACACCCATATGAAAAATCAAATTTTCAAGAATTATGGAAAATGACAAGAAAAAAGCGAAACAAATGGTTGTAGCCATATTATCAATGAATCAAACTAACACCATTTTCAATGCATTTATCATCTCGTAAATGCTGTAGCTGCGCAGTTCTAACATGATTAATTTCCTCCTAATTAAAACAAAATAAACTTAATTGTTTACTAATTTTGGTCTCTAACAGTAGGTAGTTAGTGCATTAGCACTTTGAGTAACTTGGGCTAGTTTAGTAGAGTATTAAGCGCATTCTTGGTAATTCTTATTTTACACCAGACTAGACCCAATTGGCTTGTACATCCCCCTTAATCTTGTTTCCAAGCAATATTATTCTTCCTTACCGATGCCTTTTTGATGATATGCGCCAAGTTGTAAAGGTTGACCGCCACTCTGTAAATGAGTTTTCACAAGGTAGGCCCGCTGTACTGAGTCTCCAATATTTTTGCATGCCTTCACTGTGACGTTAACCACACAAGATCCATTGCAAGCAGAAGACTGGATATCTTCGCATTTAATTCCTCTGAACTCCACTTCAAGGTTAACTACCAAGGACTCAGGACTTGCAATGTCTAAAATTAAATGTTTAGAAAAGCTTATTCTGTGTGAGTGAAACTTCTCGAACATGATTTAAAACAACAAACACTCAATTAATCAAAAAATGAATGTAGGCCTACACCAAAATTTTTCATTTGAATAAACCCAAATCTACATTACACAGATTCGTATCTAACTATTTGTTCAGTTGCGTTAATCTCTCTATTCTTTAGAAGTAAATACTCAAATTTTCCCGTATATTCCAATGTCAAAAGTTTACACCAACTCCTTGTTATGTCCTCATTGTTGCTTTATTATATTGAACAAACTCATTTACACGGCTTGAGGAAATATAGATATTGGTATGATTTAGTGCTGCTTTCCGTTACTGAACAAGATTTTTTAAAGAATATTCATATGTATTCATATAAAAATGTTACTCTCGGTTGTGGTCCTACTTAACTCCGGTTGTCATGAGCTGACAGTCGGACAACCTTTGATCAGAAAGGGGCCTCAGAAAGGCTCGCTTCAGCCTTCATTTCAGGTGAGCTATAAATCAAACGAACAGACCTGCACACACAGGCATTTCATTTTCCTCTAAAACTTGATGAATTCTTGAAAGAACCCATCGTCGTTCCGTATTGTTTCAACACTCATAGTAAGTTTCGTGCATGTATTTATCGCTGCGTACTCTACCTCTTCCACACTTCACCTCGCAGATTTTGTGCTCATCGTCTCCGTAACAGGAAATTATTGTGTCATTTTGATGAGCAAACTTGCTACAACCTAATGTGTAGAGGCAACAGAAAGCATTATGAAACTGAAATGATTTTACTTGTACTAGGAGGATATCATTAATTTACCATTTATGATATCAATAATATCACTTTAAAATTTTTCTTTAAATCAAAATATTTCGCGATCTTCTCGTTCTTACCTAAAGCTTTTTCACAAAATTTTCCAATAAATGAATCTGGACATACACAGTAGAAAGTGCTATTTTTGGTAGCGATGCATTTACCGGAATTTTTACAAATTCCTGGCTTACAAACGCTAGGTGGAATATCACAGTTATCACCACTGAAGCCGTAAGCGCAAGTACAACTATCGTTTTGACAATCCAGCGAGGTTCTACACGTACTATTATATGTATCTGAAATCAAATAAGATATTTTCACATCTTGAAAAGGAAGTATTTGATAATCGTTCCAAGATTCTCCACTAATAATCAGAGTTTAAGATATCTAAACAAAAATGCTTGACCTATATTTTCAAAACTTTAACCCTGGTCATGACTTTTGAATGAGAAGAGATGGGTCTTTCATATAATACATTCAAATACACATTATTTTTTTATTTCGTGACCTTGACCTCGAAGTTTGACCTACTTTTCAAAAATGTTAATGTTTCCTTACATTTTCTTACATATTTGACAAAAATTTGCATTACCTTTGACAAGATATTTCCGAATATTATATGATTTCTGACCTCTTGACCTCAACCTTCACGATTGACCTAATCTTCAAAAGATAACTTCTGAATGGCATATGATTGGGCGTTAATATTTTACACATATGCAATAAATAATGACATCTCATTCATAAAGACACCGAAAAAGGGGGACCAAAATTCTTTGAATACGATAGTTGAAATTAAAAGTAAAATAGGTTAGAAAATACTCTTTACTTCTTTTTTCTATCAAACTAGGT